ACATACTTTGTCTTAATCAGGATATTAATAAGGAACTAGCAGTTTATGAAGCTTTTGGAATAATCCACCAATTTTTTAAAATTAAACACTATCTAAAGATTTGCATCGAAGCGTTTTTTTTTGATAGTGATTTTAATCACTGTCAGATATCATTATACTTGATACAACTATGCCACGTAACCACTGTGCCGCGACCCCCCTGTGCTGGGTTTTTTTATTTATTTATTTTTTTGTGTCTGTAACTACTTTTTTCAGCTCTCACTGGACCGATTTTTCTCAACGATACGTCAAAAGATCACAAATCGTATCTAGTTGAAGACATTAGCCTCAAAAATTGAAAATTTTCCCCTCGTTCCCGTAAATAATGAAAATCTCCTAAAAAATTATGATTTTTAAAATTGGTAAATTTCGACATTTTTTTTTCTAAAAATTGCCATACGTATTGAAAAATGAACAAATCAAAATTATTTTTATATTGGAACCATAGATATTTTTCTTTCATTTGATATAAATTCATTGAATCTGACCCTTTAACTGCCACAGAAGGGGATTCAAAATAGCAACTTCTGCAAAAAAATTTAATTTTTTCAACTTAAGTTTTGAAAATGTTCTACAAAAATACTACTAGCTTCAAACATATGTTAAATTAAAATTAATGTTATGTATTATAATTTAAAAAAAAAATAATTTTTCCCAACGATTTATCTTCTATGTGCAAAGGGTTGCCGTAGTTAAAAAACATGCAATTTTAGTGTTAAAATTCTTGATATTGTATTTTAATTTATTTTAAAATGCCTTATAAGGAGGAACATTGATTTTCCTGAATATTATATAAATCTAATTGACATAGAATATAATGTTAAATTTATTTCAATTTTTTTTTCTTTAAAGTCGAAAAAATAAAATTTAATATTTGAACCAGCTTAAATTGGCTATTTTATCAAAAAACGAATGCGACAAACGTTTGCCGATTCAGTAAGAATCATCCGTAGCAATGATTTTTTTGCAATTTTTCCGTAGTTCTTTTTGATTTAGAATTTTGCTTTTTAATAATCTACCAATTTCTTAAAATTAAACACTATCTACAGATTTGCATCGAAGCGTTTCTTAAGCCGGATTCCACGACTGGTGTACTTGCCAAATATTTGTCACTTGTGTATACTTGTCAAGCCGTCGGAACACTATACTTGTACAATTATTGGTCAGTTTCCCGCAGATTGTCGGTAAATGTAACACAAGTCAAAGGAATTAATGGCTTGACAAGTTTACACTTGTAGTTCACTAGTGCACACTTGGGTACTTGTCAAATACTTGTTCAATATTTGATTTTAGGGTGGCTATCGGTAACACAATTTTTTCTCCCCCACCCACTTATATTTGTACAGTGTAGCGGTGGTTTATATTGGGCTAATTAGTTGATTTAAGTTAACTTAATAGATACGTTAAATTATTTTATAGTATAATTGTAAATATAATTTAATAGTTAAGGTTGATTACATAATGTATTAATTATATAAAAAGAAAAAAATTTTTTGTTATTAAAATACATATTATTAAAAAAATTGACTCCTGTTGATTTTTTTCAAACACTTGTTACTATGTTAAAACATATATTTGTTTTTTTTACTCCACTGAAATAACTACAAAAATTTAATTTAATAATATTTAAAATTGCTCATTCTGACTGGAGTCTTTAAAAATATATTTTATTACAAAAATAATGAAATATAATTTTTATACAATCCAGAAAAGTGTTATTAAACTTTGAGTGTAACTACACGCAATGACATTAGCTATATTTACTACTAGTATTAATTCGTTTCTTTGAATGACTAAAAATTGTTGATTAAATTAAACTATTGAAAAGTATACTATTGTTTATTATTTCCTGTCTATTATTGATATAAAAGTTTTTTTCAACTTAAAAATAAAATCGAAAAAAAATAAGTCACAAGCCACTTTTTTGCACGACAGCAACGAATTAATTATTCATATTATAGTTGATAATAATTAAAATTCTAAAAATTTTACATAAAAAAAAGAAAATTTAATTTGGTATGAAATATTAATAAATTATTTGGCTACTTAAAATCGATTAATAAATATAATTTACTAGTTTTTAACGTAAAATTATTTAAAAAAACTTACCTTTGTTTGCCTTTATATAACGATGTCATCTACCATCTTCTTTTTTTTTTGTATTTTTTTTTCAATTAATAGTTTGTACTTTAAGTACTCTCCACACATAATTATGTATGAAGCATAAATAGCCATTTTATCATTATCACTAGCCATTTTAATTAACTTAAGGTTAATTAGATAAATAAAAACTAAAAATTATAGTTAAAGTTAAAGAACTATTTTAACTAAGAAAAAATAATCTAAAAGGAATCAAAACTAGCAATACTAACAAATGTATTTTAAATCACTCACTGAAACGTACAAACACTGCAGCGCTAAAAAAGCAAATGATACATGACTTAATATTTTTCAGGTCACACCCTTAATACAATTATTTGGCATTTGATCCAGTCGTAGGAATAGTATACTTGGCTTTTATTTATTACTTGTACAAATGTACAAGAACTGGTATACTTGTCAAGTATACCAGTCATGGGAACGCTCCATTTGTTAATAATTGGATATTTTGGCAAGTATTTAATTATTGGTATACTTGGCAAGTACACCAGTCGTGGGAATCCGGCTTTATGATAATGATTTTTATCACTGTCAGATATCATCTATACTAGTGCAATAGCGTATATGTTGGTAGTTATTATTATATAAACAATACATGGGTAGTTCCAAATAGGAATTTTGTGGTAGTCAAACGACAAGGCGCATTAGACAGGGAATAGCATTTACGTGTTGTTGTGCTTGTATTTTAAGTAGATCCATAAGATCTTATGTAGAATGTTATATGTAAATTATTAATTTTTGGAATATGTGGCGCTATCTAGTGTTGTTGGTAGGCAATATAAGGCAATAACCACTGCTCATATCTGATTAGAAATTGCTAACTTCTACACATAAGTTTTTGCTAGAAAATTTATATTTTGCGACACATCTAAACAATTTAATTGAGATAATTTTTAAATTCTAGAATATCCGTTTCTTTACTTCAGCTAATTGATTGTATTATTAAGTCTATTAATGAGCGTAGTGTAATAATAATAAGACAACTAAGAACACAACGTGTTAGTATAGAATAAATGCACAGTATTTAATCTATGATCAAAATTATTCAAAGACATTTGTTCCCAAAAAAAGTAAATCTAATTTATATTTATTACAAATATGAAGTCGCAATGGTGATAATCAAAATACTATTTATAATCTGAAATTATAAATTGTAATTAAAAAGTCACTTTAATGTCTAATTGTGTTCACAAATAATGTTACGTAAAAATTAGTTTTGAATTGCATTATTTATTTAATATTATAGAGAAATTTTTGTTTACAATTAAAATGTCTTATTTGATAGCTTAATATGATAATATCATCGAAACAAGATATTTGTGGAACAAAAAGTGATTCTGAATAAGTTATTTTGCATTTGATAAAATCATAGATCAAAATTCATGCTCGCTATAGTGAAGAACTCGTTTTATTTAAAAAAAACTATTCCACTCAATTTATGAGTACAGAGGTTATGTAGTAACTATCATATCAGTCTCATATTTTAATATATTTTACCCTAGACATACAGTATGTGTATAATAATGGTTATGAAATATTGAACAAAAAGCTACATAGCTTGATGCAAAAGAATCAAATTTCAGTATATAGAATTCAGTGGTACTTATATTCTACAAAATTACTATGATAATAGAAATTAAAATACACTACTACCATACTTTATGTAACATTCACTTTCCTGTTTCATCACCTATTGAAATTTCTAAAACTTTTTGGAAACATGCCCAAATTTTAATATATGATAGGACATACAATGTCTCGGTACACACCCGCCCCTTGAAACTATGATGTCTGTTTTACATTATGTAGATGAATGGCATATTATAACCAACGTAAAATGCATTCTTCACTGAACCATGTTAATCGATCAAATAAATAAGTACAAACATAAATTATATGTCGTTTATTTGTAATTTAATTTCTATTTACAATATTAAAAAATTTCTAAAAAAAAAAAATATAACAATTATTTTTCCATGCCAGTTCTAGTTTTCTTATTAAGAAAGTTATATAAATATTTTATTCTTTTTTGCATATCAGTCCATTTTGTTGGTCTAGCAATTGGTAAAGCTCCATACCTTAACATTTTTCTTTTTCTTAACAAAATTTGAAATTCATTGCCTTTTACACCACGTAACCATGATGGAACATTATAAAGTACTCGAACAGGGTGTACAGAACCATCTCCTAAAATGTCAATATAATCATTCTGTCCAAACAATGCCCTTTTTTCACTCCATACATCTTTAGGTCTATAAATCGGCATTGGTAGTTTTTTTTCATCTGCTGATCTTGGAAGTAAACCAGACTGTAATAACATTTCATCTTTATAACCATATCTACGAATTATAGGTCGAGTTCCTTGTTGATCTTTCCAATAACGATGTCTGACAGGTTGAATGTTAATCTTAGGAAATACAAATCTTAGAATAGTAGTTAAAGACTGCATATTCAAATTCTACAAAACAAAAAAAAATAAATTATAATAACACATTAAAAAAAATATACCATGTTTCAATTAAAAGTAATGCCAATAAAATTAAAAAAAATATTTTAAAATATATTCATTAGATAGTTACAAAAAAAAAAAAATACTATTTAAAAATCACATTTTATATAAACAGGAAATATTTTCATTAAATAAAAATTGTAACAAAATAAAACATTAGGACTAAATTTTATCCATTTAAATGGATATTTTAGTTTTGATAATTGTTAATTATAAATGTGCTGAAATTCTTATAAAAATCTTTCACTTGTGGCTAAGTACTCAAAATTAAAACTATATTATAAAAATATAATTATTTAAAACTAGTAAATAATAAAAATATTTAATTCAAACAGCAACAAAGAATTTTGAGTTAAATCATTTTTAGTTTTAAATTAATAATATTTTTAATATTGTTTTAATTTTGAAATTCTTAACTTGAGAAATCCAACACTACATTTTTTATATTAAGATATAAGAATATTGACTAACGTATAAATTGATATTATTTTGTATTCAAGACGTATTATTTTTTGCAAAATATTTTTAATAACATAAGTAAAATTTATAATTTATTATATTATGTCAACTGATAATCTTTGTGTAAAAAATAATATACTTTTACTAATTGTTAATTTTTATTTACCTTCACAGTTTTTGATTGATATAACTTCAATGATAAGTTATTAAATTATTAAAGTTTACAAACAAATTTAGAGTAGTTATGACAAAAATCAAATTTAAAATTACAATTATTGTACATTTTCTTTCATGTCATTCTAAGATATCATAATTTAATTCTTTAATAAGGAATTATTTAAGCTAGTGGTGGGTTAGAACTAAAAAATGAAGCACGACAAAAAAACTACCCGACAAATATGTCACAATAAACCTCTTCCAATGCTTGCAAACATGTACAATATTTTGATAACAATACAATGGTTTAGTGATGGTAAACTGCTATTTTTTTTTTTAACATCTGCTAATGCTATTGCTATTTTAAAATAGTAAAAAATAGCAGCTATTGCTATTTCGTAAAAATGCTCGTAGCATTATGCTTATCATTAATTTTTAGTTATTAGCAGCTAATGTTTATAGCAATTAGCAATTACACTGTAGAAATCATTATTTTCGTTAGCAGGGGCTCAAGGCATTTATGGCGGGCAGTATGATGTATAATTTATTCAACTGGCGTATGATACTATGATATCCAACGGTTATAATATTACATTAATATATATATAATGTTTAAGCCGTGTTAGTGTGAACTGTGAAGGTGAACCATTTGACATAAACATATTAATAATTGTAGACTGAAAAATAATGTGAACTTCAATTAACAATCATATTTATGGGCTTTATTTCAAAAATATTTTTTCTAAATGATTAAAACGGACATTAGGATTTGTACTATTTAACATGAGTATAATAAATATTAGATTTCAAGAATTATCAACTCTAAATTCAAGCAAATTGAAAATTGTGATTGGTCAAAAAAGCAAAATGTGTTTGGACTTTATTTTTTAGGAAATTTTATATTAATTCCTTATATTACAATATTTAATAAAAAACAATTAATTAATTAAAAATGCTCATTGGGAAATATATTTTTTTATTTTATTTTCTATATAATTAAAAATGTTATGTATTGTTTTTCATAAATAAATGAATTAATATGATTATTATCATACTTGAAAAAACTGTCGTTAGTGTTTCAAGTACTTTATTAATAAAAAAAATACATCTTAGTACAGTACCAAGTATTTTATGTTGAATTGAAAATGTATTTTGGATGGGTGGTGTATAGATTAATACATAGTAAATAAAACATTACTAAATAGACCAAAACATTTTTATTTTTAAACTATAAATTATTATTATTATACATTATTACATTGCATATTGTTTAATCTTTTATGACATTATGGAGAGATGACATATATCATTTTTCCAACTATGCCTATTTCTCTGAATGTGCATGTCCAGACAAGACTAATAAAAGCTATGTTTAGTATGTTTCATAATTAAATGTATGAATGAAAAATATAAAAATAAACAATAAAATTCCATTTCTAGACTGGTATTAACATGTTGAATTATTATACCAACTCTTATGTCTATAAGATAATACAAATGAAGCACATTCTTCTTCTAAATATCATAGGGTATATTTGATTGTTTGTTTTTGATAGTTTTATTTTATTTACTTAACAATGAATCGTAAGATAAGTAATATTTGGTATCATTTTACAATAATTGATAATACTAGATTTGCAAAATGTAATATTGACTATTGTGGTTTTTGTTTTTACCGATAATACTGTATTTGCCGTATTAGATATTGATATCTGGTAACTGGATAAGCGTTGATAACAGTAACATTTTAGACCAGGGGTCGGCAATTACGTTCCATGGCGGTCCAAATAATTTGAAAAAAAAATTTCGAGGGCCAGATAAAACTTAAATATGTTTATTTTTGTATTAAAAACATAGTTTAAGACAATTTATTTAATATAATATAAATTATGAAAGTATAAAACTTAAATTAATAAAATAATAAAAATACAAATTTATACATAAAAATTTACTTTATTTATTTTAATGAGAAAAATTACATTTCTTGTCCTGAGCTAATTTTTTGAAATTTGGTATTCTCGGAGAGCAACATATGCGCAGAGTGTTTTCAAGGTGGAGATCAGTTAATCTTGAACGATATATATTCTTTAAAAACGTCATTTTGGAGAACGAAGTTTCACATATGTATGTGGAGCCAAACATGGTAGCTAATTTTATAGCCAGTTTTCTACAGTTAATGTACTTATCTAAAATATGTTTTGTCCATAAATCTTCAGTAGATGCAGTTTTGTATTGTTGCAAAGAAATATCTTCTTGCAATTCAATAATTTCTATTTGAAGTGAAGATTTTGGATATTGGAACAATTTCGTTGCTACGTCAATCCATTCTCCTGTTGGAGAAACTTCAAAAGGATTTTTAAAAATTGCGAAAGTTTTCTAATTTCTGCAAAGTCTTTGAATCTTTTGGAAACTTCTTTGCTGAGATCAGACAAAAAACTTAAAAACACTGTGCAATCTATATTGGAATTATTTTTATATTCAAGCATTGTTGAAAAATGAATAAAATCTTGATTTTTAATATCTTGTTCAAATATTTCCAGTTTTCGACGGAAAGCAGATACAGTTGATATCAGATCACAAATTAATTTTTTATTTCCTTGTAACTCAGTATTAAGTGCATTTAAATATTCAAGAATATATTTTAAAAATGCCACAGCTAGCATATTACTCTTGTTTGTTAAAAATTTATGATACTGTTTTGATTCTTCCGAATCCAATTTTTCCAAGAACGTGATTACTTCTACTTTTATGTTCCAAAAGCGTTCTATCACTTTACCTTTACTCAACCAACGAACATTGTTGTGTTAAAGTAAATCTGTATAAGCCGAATCACATTCAGATAAAAACTGTTTAAACTGCCTGTGCTGAAGAGAAGATCGGGACCTCATAAAATTAATAATTTTAATCATTACGTCCATTACTTCTTTCAGTGTTGTACTGAGTTTGTCACATAGGGACGTCTAATGAATTATGCATTGGTATGAAAGTATTTCAGGATTCTTATCCTTAATTCTCTTAACAAATCCCTTTTCTTTACCAACCATTGCAGGTTGAAACGGACACAATTTTATCATAACTAATATTTGATTTATTCATAAAGTTGTCAAAAGTTTTGAACAAATGTTCTCCACGAGTCTTGTATTTTAATGGCAATAATGCCAATAATTCATCTCTAAATACTCTACTTTCAACATCAAAAAATCGCACAAATATTGAGATCTGTTCCGAATCAATAATATCACATGATTCATCAAGTGCTAATGCGTAGCATGGTGCTTTCTGTAAAATGGAAATTAAACTATTTTTGTTGTCATCAGCCAAAATTTCGGTTCTCCTTGTATTGCTTCTTGCTGATAAAGGAATACTTTGAAAAGCATTAATGATGTCTTTTTTTTCTTCAAAAAGTGCAGTGACCTTTTGGTGTTTATTTAACATCCAGCATACACACAATGCTGCTTCAACAGACTTTTCTTGCCCACTCATACTTTTTAACACGCTTATATTAGTTTCACCTGTATGTATGTATGTATGTATGTATGTATGTTTGTAACTCTACAAACGACACGCGTTATCGCATATTCCGTCGTCTAGACTAGACTGTCATAACGCATTCACCCCTCCTCACGCCTCGCTCACCACACGACGGCACACTATTCCTATAAAAATTTATTTTTAGTTATCGTACCCGTACACGCGTGCTTGTCATCAATATTATATATATATAAACAAATTTTTATTTTGACTGACCAATACCGCCCGCGTCTAATGCGCCTTACGTATATATATTTATATATTCCTACCACCGTTTATACCTCAGGTATAACGTTAGTCCGACCCGCCTGCCCACAAAATACGGTTATACCTAGTGCATGATACGTTTACGTACTTAAGTTGCATTATTTGTATATATATTCTAATTACTATTAAAATTTATATATTAACACGATTTATTCTAATTAAGAGATATAAAGTATTCATTCCGATTACGAGGGATGATTCCCGTATCGTCATTTTTCGTCACTACCTCCATGTTCCGGGAGTGGGTAATTTACGCGCCTGCTGCTTTCCTTGGATGTGGTAGCCGTTTCTCAGACTCCCTCTCCGGAATCGAACCCTCATTTCTCGTTACCCGTTACAACCATAACTACTATCATAACTTGAAACTAAAAAGTAAAAAATAAATATAGTTTAAAAAAACTAAAAAAACACGCTTTTAAAGCACATCGAACTAAAAAGTTAAAAATAATTTTTAAAATAAGCTTAAAACAATAATGAACGAAAAATACTAGTATTATTGTGATAAAAGCGTCGGGCGCTCAGTATACGAAAAATATGGCACAAAGCACCCACGCTTTTATTACAATAATACTAGTATTTTTCGTTCATTATTGTTTTAAGCTTATTTTAAAAATTATTTTTAACTTTTTAGTTCGATGTGCTTTAAAAGCATGTTTTTTTAGTTTTTTTTAACTATATTTATTTTTTACTAACATAGTCGTGCTATTTTTGTAAGACGAGAGACACGTGTAGATCTTATCTTTACGCGCTGCATTGCCAAGATGAAACTTTTTATCAAAATCTTTATGAATTGTTTCATGATGCCGCTTTAAATTGGCACATTTGATAACAGCAACTGTACTGTTGCATAAGAGACAAACTGGAACGGCCCCAGTTCTTTCTGTTAATATGAAACAATATTGTTCAGTCCATTCAGTCAGAAACTTTCTGTTTTCATTATCGACTTTACTTTTTTTAGAAAATATATTAGATTGTGCTAAATACTGACAACAGCAACAGCAACTGATATCAACGGTATAAGTGGTTATTGCACCATATCCAGTATTACCAACTAGAGGTGAACATGTACTAGATTGATAATTCTTTTATCGGGCTCAAACTACCTTAATTATTCCCTACAATTAAATCCATAACTGCTACATATTTTAATATTAAAATTCAACATTCTATAAAAATTCACCATAAAACTCCATCTTTTAAAAGTTAGTATAATAAATTAACACTTTTTAAACGCCAAGCAATTTTAATTTACTTATTTTTTTCTAATTGCTTTATATTATTTTTTTAAAATTATTTAATAAATTATTCAATACTACATTAAATTTTATGTCTGTTATTAAGATGTGAAATAATTATGATCTAAGGAAAAGCTGTAAGTATAAACTTTTAGT